AACTTAACATATTGTTACTTTTATAATTCAGTATAAATATCGCAGCCTAGGCTTCAGTGAAATTTCGTATGATATCACGTTTTCACTCAAACCAAGCAAGTTGGTTCACAACCGGACATTTTTATATACTCATATATTTTATTTTATTTATTTAAACTTAATATAGTGTGTAGACACCGTTAATAAACAAAATAAACTAGTTTGCGGTTAGTAAATAATACACATCAATATTATAAAATAAAATACTTCTTTGAGCACTACACCCACAAAACCACTAGAATAAGCCACAACCATCGATTATCCTAAGCGCTTTATGAGGAAAAACTCATTTGTATGTATGCATTGAAGCTCAAGTATAGGAACAAATACTAGAAAAGGTGTAGTGCTCTTGCCAACTTGAAAACCGCAAGTCTACATTTGCACTTTAGTTTGTCCAGAGTTCTAGTTCAATGCCACAGAGGCTGTGTGTAGGCGTTGGCGGCTCGAGTTATGTAATGCCAAGAATTTACCACTAAATATTACACACATTAGCAACAAGCTTTGCAATGACATTTAAATGCCATAATATATTTATTACTGTTATATAATATGTGGATACGACCAAAAATTGGATTCAATATTTGCAGAAATTAATATTATTTTAAACGACAGTTTCCCCGTTTYAAAAATTGCTGACAGTTATTCATAACATTCTTGTACAGACAGTTAGACGTGCACCCTCTTTACACAGCAACAATTAAATAATGACAACAAAAATGCAGAGTAATTGCATAAGAATGATGCAATTGCTTGAAAAGTGAATAACTACACTAATGAAGGATGAATTGAAGTACAAAAGCATTGTAAATGTCGTCATAAAAATGATGACCAAAAAATGTAATTGTTTGACGAAAAAAAAAATCGCCGAAATGATCTTAAAAATAATAACAGAAAAATGTTAACTTCGACTACATTGAAGMTATACCGTTCACAAGTTCATTTTTTATAGAATAATGGAATATACAAAGATATTTATCCCGACCAATCAGCTWGTATAGCTATAGGTTATAGTAATCTGGAACGTTGTACCGTGGGCGATCGATGTTGTTGTTGTTGTTGTAACGGCAGAATTCTGCCAAGGACTGTTACTTGGCCGGATAAAAATCCGGGTCCGTTCCGGTTTTCGTAGACCCGACTGTCGTGGGAACGGGTGGGCGATCGATCGAAACAATTCATTCGGCAATTAAAGSTTCCCATGGAATTTAATCTATTCTAAATTTCGTAAAAATATCTTGTCAAATGTAAAAGTACGACATAAAAAATACTAGACTTGTGCGATAAATGCGCAGCTTCTTGGAAAGAAAAKKACTTGTGCAAAATTTAAAAYTGATACCTCAAAAACTAAGCWACTCAGCTTGAMGCCCTTATCGTTTCTATATACATATACTTCATAGGGTTTCTGAAGTTTCTCCTAGAAAAAACGGCAAATAATATAGTGGGCGTTGTAAATAATGAAACCAGTATCACAGCGATCATATAAAAAATACTCKTAATACTTATATCTGTATTTATGTAGTCAAGTACGAATCAACTTTAGTTGAATCAGCGCATATTTGTATACGTAGACATGTACGTAATTCTAAATGTAATCAAAGGAAATTGAGATCTAGGAACTCACTACCAACCGCAGCAGTTGGCCGAGGAACGCAAAGTCACAAAGTGCAATGCAATAGTAATGGCAAATCATACATACATACATACGTACATATATACATACATATGTACATTTGCATATAAAGTATATGATGATAGGCATATTTCTAACTGCAGCCGGGTGGGATTTACTTAGATATGTACATCGTAACACTGCGGATGGATGGGGGTGTTTGTTGATCTCATAGAACTGAGCTGAGAATATTCGAGACCTAAAGTCGTACAACAACAATCGGGTATTTACATTTTGAAGACATGTACACGCATACATAAGTAGATGTTAGGTTTTCAGTGATTKGCACCAAGAGCTTTAAATAAACAAGGATTTAAGCATGTAATATGCCAAATTCTAAATGACATGGCAAGATCTAATAAATTTTTATTTAATTTTT